AGCTTCATGATCGTCATGCGTGTTACCTACAACGGTATTGATGTGAGTTAGGCTGGTCAGAAATACTTTAGCTACCTTTACCTGATGGTATCTTACACAACCAGCAGATGGAAGATCAGGTTCTTCATCAGGTTCTTGTGACCCCATCTTCACCTTGATTTATCCGAAACATTCTCTTCTTGAGGCTTTGATGCAGATATCTGGAGTGTGGTCTTCTGTTCTGCAATGCTTTCCACCGACCAATCCTTTCTTCATATTGACCCTCAGAGGATGATCTCACCCTTCAATGTGTTTGCAATTTCTCTCCAATTGTTGATGAGGTCATTTCGTTTTGCTCCCTTGTCTCCCAGAAGATAAGGCATGAATCATGATAGGTGCACCAGGTTCTGTGTGAGACGTGGTGGAGGAAGTTGAGTTGTCTTTTGCCAGTTTCCTTCATCTTGCTCGAGTGCCAAGGGAACCTCTCTGCCTTTTCATTCACTGAGAATGTACCCTTTACCTTTTTTTTAAGGATACATTCCTTTCCTGCAGGGCTTTCAGTGAGAGGCATTTCATGATGTTTCCAGCTGCGTGCTTTAGGCATTCACTGTCCATAGTCTATCGCAGTCTGCTTCCTCTCACTAATCCCTGCACATGCACATCAAGGGTTAGATTTAGGAACCCAAACTAGTTTGGGTCTCTTGTTACTAAAAAAAGATGAATGAGGAATTTCTTAGTCCACGCAGGCAACATCCGCTTTTTGCGAGTGGTTCCTGGTCCTTTGCTAGTAGTCACTCTATCAGTGAATGCTTTGTTCTTCTGAGCAGACTGAATCCTGGCCTGACAATTTTCTTTAAAATGCCTATTGTTTCCGCAGTGGGTACATAGCCAGTTATCAGGTACAGTGACATACTTGTTGTGTGGGTTGTAGGGAGTTTTCTCCCTTTGGAACCCGATTCCCTGCTTGTTCCCACTATTGTTGAGATACATGGCAGTAACAGCATCTGAGGACAAGGTCCATTTCAAGGATTTCTCAAGATCATTCCTTACTTTCTCAAACTCAGCTTGGAGTTGCTGATTCCTCTCGAGTTCACTACAAAGACTGGTTTTTACAATATTTAACTCTTTTTCAAGCATGATGTACGCCTCACTAGCTACTTCCTTCCCTTTCCCAAGACTTACATTCCTATGTTCTCTATTGAGTCCCTCAATGGTTTCCTCTAGATCAGCGGATATTGCTAACAGGTCATCCCTTTCCTCTTCAGTAGATGCAACTTTTTCTTCTAAGGTGTCCTTCTCATTGTTAAGGCCTTCTATTGTTTCTTTTAGATCAACAACTACTACAATCATGTCGTCTCTCTCATTTTCCACACTAGTTATTCTTCCATTCAAAGCCTCATTTTCTATTTCAAGATTAACTATGGTCTCATCTCGGTCTACTACACAGACCACTAGATCATCTCTAGATTGCTCTGCCTCTCCTAGTTCTATTATGAGGATCTCCTTATCGTTTATAAGGCTATAATAGGCATCAATTAAGACATTTGATAAAGACCTTAGCTTCTTGGAAGAATAGGATTTCAGATTTCTCTGAACATCCCGGAAGCTTACCTCATCGTCTTCATCTTCTTCTTCATCATCATCTGACTAAGCCATCAGCGTGAATAGTGAGTCGTACTTCGTTGCTTCAGTTTCCACTGCCATCAGGGAACTATTTTATGCATCTGATTCCCTTTCGGATTCACTTGAGGAGTCTCCCCAAGCAGCAAGAGCCTGCTTAACGATATTGTCAGCAGCACTTTTTCTATTGAATCTTTTCTCTGGAACCAGGTTCCTTTTTCCTACTTTGCTAGGACTTTGCTTGTACTGCTCCTGTTTCGCGAGTGGGCAGTCTTTGATGAAATGCCCTGACTTTCCACATCCGTGACAGAGATCGTTGTTCCTTGTTTTACTTGAACTCCCCCACTTTGGTATGCCACCATTTCTTCGAACTAATTTTTGAAATCTCTTAGTAAGATAGGCCATGTCACTATCTTCATCACTTGAACCACTCCTTTCATCTTTAAGCACCAGGTTATTTTCCTTCATAGGCTCTCTTCTTTCTCTGTCTTTCTTTCTTTTCATCTCGTAAGTTTTCAGATTACCAATCAACTCATCCATGGTCATAGTCTGTAGATCTGTAGCTTCCGTGATGGCATTTACCTTACTTTCCCAAGACCCAGGTAGGACGCTGAGAATTTTCCTTACGAGCTTATTTTTGGGAATGACATCTCCAAGTGAATGAAGCTCATTTATGATGGAGGTGAATCTAGTGTGCATATCTTGTATAGATACATTATCCTTCATCCTAAAGAGTTCATATTCTGTGGTGAGCATGTCAATCTTGGATTGTTTGACTTGAGTGGTTCCTTCATGAGCGGTTTGCAAAGCCTCCCATATTTCTTTGGCAGTTTCACAAGCTGAGACTCTGTTGTACTCATCAGGTCATATGCCACACATCAAGATTTTCTTGGCACGGTAGTTCTGTTCTACAGCTTTTCTGTCAATGTCGTTGTACTCTCTTCTTCCTTTCGGCACCATTTGCCCTGTTTCTTCAATCTTCTTCATGGGAACATGTGGACCATCATATATAATGTCCCACAACTCTGAATCTTCTGCCATAATGAAATCATGCATCCTGGTCTTCCACCAGCCGTAGTATTGACCATTGAATCTGGGAGGTCTATAGGTTGATTGTCCTTCTTCAAAGCTTGGTGGAGCAACCATTGAGGATTCCTCCTAGGTGTTAGCCTGATAGGAGAAACCTGCTCTGTTACCAATTATTGACTTATGTGAGTCCACCAAACAATAGAGTACCTGGTCCTCTATGAGACTGATACGTAGAATGCAGTAAGGACTGAATGTAAAGAAGGCCAGAGATTTTTTATGTGGAAAAACCCCACACAAGGGGATCAAAAAACCACGACCTACACCTGTAGGCTTTAAACTCAACTAACTTGTAATCTACCTATTACAAGCCACTTTGCAAACACCCTTTTGCAAAGACTTCAAACTAACTTGTGATGCACCACCACAAGCCACTCTATAACTCTCCTAGTTATAGAGGATTTAACTTATGGCTATTCCTAGTCACAACATAAACTCTAAGGTTTACAAATTTGGTTTGTTCCTAAGACAGCGCTTCTAAGAAAGCAAACTAGGAATTGCAATGTAGAACAATTAACAAGATTACAACTCAATTATGGACGTACATAAGACTCAGTTAGAAACTGATCCTTAGTGGAGTTGTCTTCTTGTTCTTGACACACCAGTGACTTCAATGCTAGATGAACTTTGTTATGCTTGAGAGAATATCACTAAATGCACAAGGAATAGTATATCTTGCACCAGGTTGTTTTATAAAAAAAGATGTCACAATAGATTGTGATGTCAACTCAAGGTGTATACTTCTTCCCAATGAGAATTGACTGTTGTACAATCTGCACAGCCACTTCTGGGCAGTTGCGTTCCAGCTGGATAGTGGGCTTTGTACTTCCTATCAGGACACACCAACAGACCAGGTCCTAGTTGTATTTCTCTTTTGTATCAGTTGCCAGATGGTTACTTTCTTCTGTCATGTTCCAGTTGTGTACTTGACTTGTACTTTTTGTCAAAGAACCCTAAAGCAGCAGGTCCCTGTTGTGTTCCTCTTTATCTTGATTGCGTACAGTCACTGACTTGCTTGTGTCGAAGAACCTTAAAGGGCCAGATCATCAGGTCCCTGTTGTGTTCCTCCCTTTGCAAATTTTTAGGCTTCGATCAGTTCGTATGAAATGTATATCTTGTCTGTCACTATCTGGTTCTTCATGACAAGTTTGTTAGATCACCCAAACATAAAATACTGAAAACCCATCAAACAGAAAACGTATCTACAATCCGTAATATAGCAAATGGTATCTATAGATAACTAATTACTGTTAAAAGATAGTGCTTTATGAAAATTTCTCTTTTTCAATCCTTTCCTTTCGCTTAGTGGCTTTCCTAGCCCACTATCATTAACCCCAACTTGTCCGCTACTTTCATTTGGCCCAAGCCCAATATCATTCATGACACTTATTAACAAGGACGACATATAGTGTCACCCACTTAGGACTATTATTGAAGATTGTAAGTATTTATTGGAAATCAACAAGACTATTATTACACATATTTGGAGGGAAGCGAACAAATGTGCATACATTGTGGCTAACAAAAGACACAACCATGTAGAAGCTATAATAATTTGGGAGGTACAACATGAAAATAGAGTTTCTTCTCGTGGCCCATTCGATCAATGTAATTACGAGAGATTTAAGTAAATTTATTTAGTTTTTTCTAATGTGCCAAAAAAATAAGAATTTTTCATAAAGCACTATAGTTTAAGTTTAGAGCCTAATAACTATACATAACTATAGTTTGACTAATTATCATTCGTAGCTACTGTTCAATTATTATCGGCATGTATTACTTGTATTCATTCGCTTGAAATGGCTGTATCAACTTATACAATACATTGAAATATAATGATACATATAGTTACTATACCATTATATCTGACTCCATGCTGTATACACTCTATAATAGCTACAGATTGTAATTATTTTAAAGTATATTTATATATGATAAATACAGTATATAAGTTAGTTACGTGTAATTTTTCCAAAAAAAAATCACAGTGAAGATCTGTAAATTTTCAGCTAGACCAGCCCATTCTCTTCCCGCCCAAATACTCTCTAAACCCTAAAAACACAAATAACATTGCAATTTGCTTCCCAAAGAATACAGAGTAGAACAGTGCAGAATCCGCCGCCATGGAAATTGAAGAGGCTATTAACGAAGTGGAAATGGAACCCATAGCAACGGCGGCGGCGATACCGAAGGAGCCACCGAAGATAAAGCGGCTAGAGGAATCAGTAGTGAACAGAATCGCGGCTGGGGAAGTAATCCAACGGCCAGTATCTGCAGTAAAAGAGCTCATCGAAAACAGCTTAGATGCTAATTCCACCTCTATCTCCGTCGTCGTTAAGGATTCCGGTCTTAAACTAATCCAAGTTTCCGACGACGGCCATGGCATCCGTTACGAGGATTTACCGATTTTATGCGAGAGGCACACGACGTCGAAGCTGAGTAAGTTTGAAGATTTACAGACGATTAGTTCAATGGGATTTAGAGGTGAAGCTTTAGCTAGTATGACTTACGTCGGTCACGTAACTGTCACTACAATTACCGACGGCCAGCTGTACGGATACAGAGCAACGTATAAAGACGGTTTAATGGTAGATGAACCAAAACCTTGTGCTGCTGTTAAAGGTACACAAATAATGATTGAGAATTTGTTTTATAACATGGCGGCGCGAAGGAAAACCCTAGAGAATTCTTCTGCTGATGATTATCCGAAAATTGTTGACCTAATTAGTAGGTTTGCAATTCATCACACAAGTGTGAGCTTCTCTTGTAGAAAACATGGAGCTGGTAGAGCAGATGTTCACAGTCTAGCTACTTGTTCGAGGATTGATTCGATTAGATCTGTTTATGGAGTTTCAGTTGCTCGAAATCTGATGAATATTGAAGTTTCTGATACTGTTTTTCAGATGGATGGTTTCATTTCTGACTCGAATTATATTGCGAAGAAGATAACCATGGTACTTTTTATAAATGATAGGCTCGTTGATTGTAGTGCTTTGAAAAGGGCAATTGAGCTAGTCTATACTGCTACATTGCCTAAAGCATCAAAACCTTTTATATACATGTCAATTGTTTTGCCACCTCAGAATGTTGATGTTAATATACATCCAACAAAGAGAGAGGTAAGCCTTATGAATCAAGAATTCATCATTGAGAAGATACAGTCTGTGGTAGAGTCGAAATTGAGAAGCTCGAATGAGTCAAGGAGATTCCAGGAACAGACCATGGATTTTTGTTCCTCAAGTCCAGTGGCCACAATTAAAGATTCCAGTAAAGATTGTCCGTCTTCGTCTGGGATAAAGTCGCAAAAAGCGCCACATAAAATGGTACGAACGGATACGCTGGACCCTTCTGGAAGGTTGCACGCATACGTGCAAATGAAGCCTCCTAGTAGTTCAGAAAGAGGAGGTTCTTGCTTGAGTTCAGTGAGGTCTTCTATTAGACAAAGGAGGAATCCTAGTGAAACCGCGGACCTCACTAGCATCCAAGAGTTAGTTAATGAGATTGATAATGATTGTCACTCTGGTTTATTAGATGTTGTTAGGCATTGCACGTATATTGGGATGGCGGATGAGGTTTTTGCTTTGATTCAACACAACACGCACCTTTATCTTGTTAATGTGATTAACTTGAGTAAAGAGCTTATGTATCAGCAAGTTTTACGTCGGTTTGCACATTTCAACGCGATTCAACTGAGTGAACCGGCGTCATTACCCGAGCTAATAATGCTTGCTCTGAAAGAAGAAGAGGGTATAGATCCCCAAGGCAATGAAAGCAATGAGCTAAGAGGAAAGATTGCCGAGATGAATACAGAGCTGCTCAAGGAAAAAGTAGAAATGCTAGAGGAGTATTTTAGTGTTTATATCGATTCAAATGGCAATTTGTCTAGACTTCCTGTTATACTTGATCAGTACACACCTGACACGGACCGCATCCCAGAATTTGTACTTTGTTTGGGCAATGATGTTGATTGGGAAGACGAGAAAGTTTGTTTTCAGACAATTGCCGCTGCCCTTGGAAATTTGTATGCCATGCATCCACCATTATTGCCTAAACCCTCGGGCGATGGCTTGAAATTCTACAGAAAGAGAGTGCTTTCGAGTGGTTCACTAGAAACTTGTATGGAAAACATAGAGACGAATGACACCGCAGAGTCTGAATTTGAGGAAGAATTACTTTCGGAGGCTGAAAATGCTTGGGCTCAACGTGAATGGTCGATTCAGCATGTTCTCTTTCCCGCCCTCAGACTCTTCTTCAAGCCCCCTACTTCTATGACTAAAAATGGAACTTTTGTTCAGGTTGCATCACTGGAAAAGCTCTACAGAATTTTCGAGAGATGTTAAACATTGGAGAATTTTGACGTGGCTTCCTTGAAGCAAAATGATGTAGATATGTACAGCTTCTAAATTGAGGAGTAAATTCCTCTTCCCCCTACCCCTACCCCAAAAGAGGAAAAATTAAAACAGGTACGATACATTCTTTTTTGCAGTGAAGATGGTCGGATTAGCTTTTTTGTCCTCTACATACCTTCGTTATGAAAAGAAAAAGAAAAAATGGAAGGTAATGGAAAGTAAGAGTTTGTTCCTACT